GGCAGAGAGAGGAGACACAGAATCCAAAACAGGTTCCAGGTTTTTGAGCTGTCAGCACAGAGCCCAATGCAGGGCTCAAACTCACAAACCGTAAGATCATGACCTGAGCCAAAGTCAGACGTTTAACCGACTGAGCCACCCAGGAACCCCTCCGAATACTATTGTTTAAAGGACAGGAGTGGGGGATCTATTATATCTGTATGTAAAAGAAAAAAATCCACACAAAAAGCAGAATGTTTCAATAATATTTCATTACTCTGTGTTGAAGAAATTTGTTATAAGTCACTAGAAAGGTGAATCTGGGAGCAAGCAAAATTATGGTTATAGCTTTGAATGAAAATGCAATATAGCTCTCCCCCCCCATCCGAAAGTAGAGCATTCCTATGAAAACTTTCATAAGCTGAAATGACATAAATCAAACAATTGCCAATAATACATGGAAAAGTCTTTGAGTGTATCCAGAACCCGCCCCCCCAAAAAAAACTTTTTTAAGCTTTTCTGATACTTTAGGACACATTTTGTTAATGGATGTACAAAATAAATTAAGATGAAGCACAGATGTTCATAGACAACAGTTCAAAGCTTTGGTGTCTTGAGGCCAAGGGGCTGAGCTTCGTTCCTGGGGAAGGAGTTTGGCGGGATCACTCTCACTGCTGGGGGGGTGTGCTGGCTGCCTCTGTAAGGGCTTGGTGCAAAACAAACTGAACACTACTTTTGCTCTTCACCTTTTTTCTTAAAAGTGAAAATCCTCATCCAATTTCTTTGTGTTAACGAAAACAGCTACTAATGAGGGTCTCCCATAAAAGTGAAGTGGCATAGTGCAAACTTTCTAAAAGCTGGGGATACTGGCATATAAATGTATCTGAATATATTTTATTTTTATTGAGTGCCATTTAGTCTTTTCTTAGAATGATAAAGGGATGATAATAGTTTTCCTTTTTTTTTTTACATTATTTAAAGTTACCATATTGAGTACAAACTGTACTTAAACAATTAAGAAACTAAACAACCCAGGAAACAGATATTGGCAAGGATGCAGAGAAAGGGGAACACTTTTGCCCTGCTGGTGGGAATGCAAACCAGAAAACAGTATAGAGTTTCCTCGAAAAATTAAAAATAGAACTACCCTATGACCCAGCAATTGCACTACTAGGTATTTATCCAAAGGACACAAAAATGCTGATTCAAAGGGGCACATGCACCCCAACGTTTATAGCAGCACTGTATCAGCAATAGCCAAAGTATGGAAAGAGCACAAACGTCTATTGACTCTCGAATGGAGAGAGAAGATGTGGTATATATATAATGGAATATTACTTGGTGATCAAAAAGAATGAAATCTTGCCATTTGCAACAAGGTGGATGGGACTAGAATGTATTACGCTGAATGAAATAAGTCAGTCAGAGAAAGACAAATATATGATTTCACTTACATGTGGAGTTTAAGGAACTCAACAGATGAACATAGGGGAAAGGAAGGAAAAATAAGATAAAAAGAAAGAGGGAGGCAAACCATAGCGACTCTTCAACACAAAGAACAAACTGAGGGTTGCTGGAGGGGTGTTGGGTGGAGGAATGGGCTAATGGGCAGTGGGCATTAAGGAGGGCACTTGTTGGGATGAGAACTGGGTGTTATATGTAAGTGATGAATCACTTAATTCTACTTCTGAAATCATTATTATATTATATGTTAACTAACTCAATTTAAACAAAATTTTTTAAAAAAACTAAGAAACTACAATGCTGAATTTAATATATGAAGCTGTGAATTACACAACAGGCCAATTGTTTTTCCATTGATTTTCATTCTGTGACCTGTTAAAATAGTGATTGAAAAAAGCCACTCTTCCTCTGAATTCTCATCCTTGAAATATGGATGTTCCATGAGCATATTTTCCTAAAATCTTTTGGAGTTCGAAAATTTTCAGCAGATCTCCACCATAGATTCACACTTACTGAATTTAGAATGAACATGCTTGAATAGATCATTTGCAGTTTTCAACAGGAGGAATTGAGGGGCTGAGCACCTAAAACACAATGCCCTGGTTGCCACAACAAAATGTTAGGTATGTGTTTACCTTTATCCTGATAATGGAAATTTGTGGTTTCCCAGAATGAGCGCTTCTAACCTGTGCATCATTCCTGGTTTATTACACATGTGAAGAAAGATGGCTGCTTCCTGATACCCTGCTGTGTGTTCCCAGAGCCTTGTCCTAGCCTGGGGGCCCCTGATCCTCTTTACCCCTCTGAGACCAACCCCAGGATCCAGCTTCCGCTCTCAGTACTGCTCACGTGAGCCCTCTGACCATCACCCTGGTCAGCTCATTTCTCTCCAGGCCAGAGCTTGCCTCTCATTCAAACTCCTCCACCTTCCCTGTCTAGAGCTACAAGTACCGCAGTAAATAAATAATGTAAAAAGCGATTGGTTTTAAAGAAACATTAGTTTAAAAACAGGATAGATAAAACTAAAAAGAAGTAAGTAAGGGGCTAGAGCCTAAGGGGGGAAAATACCTATTCTTATCTGCCAACTCATTTTATCTTCCTGAGAATCATCAACATATGTTTTAATGTGTCTTTCCTTAGCAACCATCTCTTCTTTGGCACCTGCCCACCATGACACATTTTGCCTGGAGATTTCGGTAAAAAATACCTGACAGAGGAGGACTCAACTCAATCCCCCCTCCCTCGTTTCTTCTTTCTCTTTCTTGCTGCTCCTATTAGGGATTCTTTCTGGCCAACAGGTTCAAATGCCTTGCCTATTCTAGTGGCATTCAAAGGTTGGACTGGGGAACCCTGTGAGGGGTGAAGTCAAAACTCTTTTCATAATAATATTAAGATGATTATTATTAACTGTTTTTTTCTCACATTCCTTCATGAGTGCACACTTCTGGAAACACACCACAGGATTCTATCAATAGAAATCTCTGGTAGTAAGAACCAATGGTCTGGGTGTCTGTGTGGCTCAGTCAGTTAAGAGTCTGACTTTGGGGGCGCCTGGGTGTCTCAGTCGGTTAAGTGTCCGACATCGGTTAAGCGTCCGACTTCGGCTCAGGTCATGATTTCACGGTCTGTGGGTTCGAGCCCTGCGTCAGGCTCTGTGCTGACAGCTCAGAGCCTAGAGCCTGTTTCGGATTCTGTGTCTCCCTCTTTCTCTGACCCTCCCCTGTTCATGCTCTCTCTCTCTCTCTGTCTCAAAAATAAATACATGTAAAAAAAAAAAAAAAAGAGTCTGACTTTGGCTCAGTGATCTTGAGGCTCATGGGTTCAAGTCCCGCATCTCTGCCCCTACCCCTCTCAAGCACACACACGCACACGCACTCTCTCTCTTTCTCTCTCAAAATAAATAAATAACCAGGCAAAGAGCTCCCTAATTTCGTATGTACAAATATTTCATTGTTATTAGAACTCTAAGAGACAGATACTATGGTAGTCTTGTCCATGAGCTAACTGAGGCCTGGAGAGATGTATTTATACCTTTGTGGCCTACACAAGCCCCACACTATGCCCCAGCCAGCATTTGAATCTATATTTATCACCAATGGTTTTACCTCTACAACTCTACAGTAACATTTGCCTGAATAATGACATTTTCCTTTTAAGAAAGGGTAGAAGCTATATAAACAACTTTCTCTTTACATTAAGTGATAATAAGGTTTTCGTCTAAATTGAGTGACAATGAAGTTTGAGTCTTTCCAGGTAGAGAATTGGATGTGATGCTCTGTTTGACTATCAGCAGAGACAATAATTTTCTACTAATTTGTATGTGAGCCATCAGAGTACTATCTTCTTGCGATCAGAAGGTTTTTTTTTCTTATAAAGTTAGAATTTCCAAGACTGAATGGGCTCAAAATATGAGGTCCCTCTGTGATGCTGGTTGTCTAGCACGATATGCACATGAGGGCAATGTCTCTGAATGAGGTTTGTTTTACGTGGTCTTTGACTTTTAAGGAGGACTGACAGGACTGTCATTTGCTATTACACTTATAAATGCAACCTGAGGAGACCGAACAATGGGGCACCCAAAAAATAAATACAAGTTTTAGAAGTGCTATCTGAGCATCTCACTAAGATCAAAGAGTTGAGTGGTAGTTTTGCTGGGCTTGTGTTTTATGAGATCAGAGTGTTTCTGCCTTATTGATCATTCATCTGGACCTGCTAATGAGCCAATATAGGTCAGATGTCTCTAAGACCAGAAAGAAAAAAAAAAAAAGCAGTTCCTGATTACGTGGCACCAAGCCATTGATCCCATCCATTCTATCTGCTCAGTTGCCTGGCTGCCGCGAACTTTCCAGTTGTGCATATTATTTTGCTAATTGGTCCTTTAATTAGTTTTATCTGCATGGGTAATTATTCTCTTAGATGATGGTGATGGTGGCACCTGTTCTTTGACCACTGCTTCTGTCGACAGTAAAATCTGCTGTGTAGATGTTTTTAGTCAGGCATTATAGAAGTCTCCTAATTCTATGCCATGGCTTCTTTTGATAATTTCTCCTAATTCTATGTCATGGTCTAAAAAGCTTTCTATCGGGGCACGTGGGTGGCTCAGTTGCCTAAGTGTTCGACTTGTGATTTCAATTCAGGTCATGATCCCAGTTCACGGGTTCAAGCGCTGCGTCAGTCTCTGCATTGAGAGTGCAGAGCCTGCTTGGGATACTCTGTCTCCCTCTCCCTCTCTGCCCTTTCTGTCTCTTTCTCTCTTCCTCTCAAAAATAAATACATTTTAAAATGAATAAAATAAGAAATAGAAAGCTTTCTGTCATATCAGAAATGGCTAATTTGAAAATCTCTTTTCTACAAATGTGCATTACAGAGTTCAGCTGACTACATTTGAATAACTCACTTGGATGGCCTTCATAAGAAAGTTCACTGGGGCCCATTGTTTGGGATATTATTGACTTAACATTCATTAAGAGACTCATAAAAACTTACTTCCTGCATGTTCGGGGCATAGTGTTTAAGCTGTAAATATGGCAATATGGGTGTAAATATTGGCTTAAAACTTGTCTTTGAGTCATTTATTTCCTTTATCTTATTGTCTTTACATCACTATTCTCCCTTGTTTAGCCTGGCCCTTCCCCAGTCTTCAAATGTGTTCTCTGAATTCCGGGTGGCAGTCTTGTTGGGATTCTTCCCGAAAGAGTCAGGGGGCACCAAACTGGGATCATTTTTGTTCTCACTCTGTTCCAGACACTCCATAGCGGCTGAACACGAAGACGGCACTCCACTGGGATGACCTTTGATTCTTGGCAGAGGATCGCGATTTCACTGAGGGAATTCACTCCGGTTGATGAGTCTCCAGTGTTTGTCGAGATCTCTGTGGAAACAAACATTCAGAGGGTCTTTGTGGAAGAGTCCAGAAATAATTGAGTAAGCCAGGAGACCCTTATTCCACCCCCTGCAAAAAAACATCAGGTTACACTTTCTTTTAAGGGCTCCTTAATTGATGGCCTTGTACAACTAATTACCATTTCCCAGCACTTTCCCTTTTGCCGAGAAAAATACAAAAGGAAAGTCAACCGAATCAAGACATAAATTCATTTTTACAGCTGAATAAGCTTTGTCTTTGGTTGTTTTAAAAATGAAATAAATGGGAAAATATTTGTTAGAGAATAATAAACACGCCCAGGTATTTGCTGCTCTTCTCGGGCCAGGCTGGGATTGAAGTGGCTCGGTAAGACCACCTGTGTTTCTTGGTGCAAACCCAGCAGAGCTTCAGAATTTGTATAGTTGGTCTCAGTCCAGCGACCTGGCTACATTCTTGGATCTCTTACTCAACATGAGGCATCAAGATCACTGGAAACTTTAACAAAAACATCAACAACTGGAAGAGCCAGTTAGCCTATGGTCTGACCCCCAGCCTGCACACCCGTACATCAATCTACTTCTAATCTTCTGGGAAATTAGTTCAGTGTTCAAGGCAGGAGAAGGGGCAACCTGAGGGTCCAGATGCTCAGTCTCCCTTAGGAGATGAAGAATCTACAATCACCCCAAAGCGTACATTTAGAGGGTTGCGTTTCAGTCTGCTTTCCACTTGGCCAAATAGATGCCTTCATAATAACTCTAAAAGCATCGAAGAAAAAGCAGCACACTCTGTAGGATTCCACAATGGAATCCAATAAAAGAAACATAACTCAAAATCGTTTCAGAAGCAATTAATAAGTTGCTACTCAGAAGCGGCTCCTCAAGGAAATTTGCTCTTCAGCCCAATAATCTAAAACACATCCTGAAAACAGTAGCTGAGGAGGAAGGAAGACGAGAACGAATCTTATTTTCTACTTGTCATTTTGGTACACTTCACAATATTTGGATACTTTCTGAATCAGCTATTGTAGATGTTTTTATCCAAGTTCCCAAAGGTCTACTTAGTTTAACTACCTTTACCTAAAGATGGCAAAATGGCCACGTGACCTTTAACAGTAGCACTGTTGAGCCAGCCAGCTTTGGTCTTAGCACCATCTTCCAGAACCCAGTTATGTGACTGTGGGCAGGTAAATTGAACCCTTTTAGCTCAAAGTTTTCACATAAAAATGAAAAGATAGGATAAGATTCTGGTTTCCCACAGTGTGTCTCATGAAGAAACATGAGATTTACATGGAGGAAGATTTTTACTTTTATTTAGAAATACTGTATTTTGGGGCGCCTGGGTGGCTCAGTCGGTTAAGCGTCCGACTTCGGCTCAGGTCATTATCTCACGGTTCGTGGGTTCGAGCCCCACGTTGGGCTCTGTGCTGACAGCTCGGAGCCCAGAGCCCGCTTCGGATTCTGTGTCTCCCTCTCTCCTGCTCCTCCCCCACTCACGCTCTGTGTCTCTCTCTCAAGAATAAACACTAAACAAAAAATTTTTTAAAAAGAAATATTATATTTTAAAAATCAAATGGAGTTTTACAACAAGATTTCTCATATCTTTTAATATACCAATTACTATCATAAGTGGAGGGGCTGTGCCATGTAATAATATGTAAGCTTATTTGACCATGGGACTCTTGTTCATAGACTATCATGGGACTAGTGTAATCTAAGGTTGCTTCCAGCTCTAAAATTCCATTTTTCCATCTGAAGTAGCTAATTGCAAATTGGCATGTATGCAAAGGTCATCGTCACAGAAATTATTAATCATCACTGAATGATGTACTTCACAGGTGGATGTGTGGGAACACAGAACAGAGCAGACATATTTAAAATCCTACCTCAGCAGGAGGGTTTTCCTGTTCTCCACCTATTCTCCTCACCCTTGGGGGGGTGCTGATCTTCTGTGCATACATGCCATGGTCAGAAAGAGAAGGTCCCAGATTCATCATAGTGTGAACTGGTATTACTCATTACTGCTATTAGTCATTGTACCCTGTTATTCCCCTGGCCTTTCCTATGTGCAATATAAAGTCTAAGTAATCGACAAGGTCTGTTTCTCTATTTAGCCTTGTATCCACCGCACATACTTCATGTCTTTTCCAGAAAAATAAGAGGAATTGTATTTTAAAATATTTTAAAGCAGTAACCTCAGTTATAGCCTTATACTTTAACTGGAATACTTTTCTCAATTTAATATTCATGTATGACTGACCTGTGCTCAATATGGAATTTCATAAGTTCCTTTCTCATTATTGTCATTAAAACTTAGCATCAAAGGTTAGGAAAGGAAAAATTATAGTAAATGTGAAGTGACTGAATTGTCTTTGTAGCTTCTTTCTAGTTTTTAAAAATATTTATTGATTGATTGATTGATTTTGAGAGAGAGAGAGAGAGAGCATGTGAGAGGGCGCACGAGAGAGCACATGAGCCAGGGAGGAGCAGAGAGGAAGAGAGAATCCCAAGGGGGCTCCATCTCACAAACCTTGAGATCATGACCTGAGCCGAGATTAAGACTCAGAGGCTTAACCAACTGAGTGATCCAGGCGCCCCTGTCTTTGCAGTGTCTTTCTAGTGCATTTTCGAATCTCAGTTGTCTCTTTTTCCCAAATTTTAAAAGGTATAAAGATGATCTGTGGTTACTTTATGTATATGATAAAGGATATAAAGTTAATTAAAATTTTAAGTGAATTAATATTTTAATTATAAATTTAAACATAGAATTGTGAAGAAAAATAAATTATAATACTTTTCCTTGTCAACATTCATCTCTTTCAGTTCACTGTAATGATTAAATCCATATGCGGTCATGCCAAAACTTGCTTAACACTTGGTATCTGTAAAAATACTCTTCCTAAATCTCCTATTGCATAGAGTATAATTGACTGACGGTTTCAGCTGCTGCTCTCTGAATCACCACTGAATCTGAGCAAAGGTCACATTTCCCATGAGCATTCCTGAGAGACACAGGACTTCTTTGATAGGCAATTTGGCTTAAGAACCCTCAACCTCGCCAAAACTGTTCAACTGCACTGTCTAAAGCTCTTTCGCTCAAACTTCCTTCCTTCCCCCTCTCTCTCACAAGGGTGAGACCTGCATTGCGGTGTGATGGTTCTCCCTCTGCATTTTCCCCTCACTGCCATTTACCCTAATAAAATAAACCCTAATTTTATCTTGGCTTCTGTTTTTGGAGGGCCTGAGCTAACATGGACCAATTCCTTATTTGGGGGCAGTTGGGTTATTTCAAGCCTTTGTGTTTATTTATTTTTAATAAATAGCATTGTAGCAAAACTTGTGTTAAGATTTGACCTATGGCTATTATAAACTAATTCCTTAGTATATGATCTTAGAAGTGTAACTGCTGGCAGCACAGAAAGTATATTTTATCACACTTTTGGTACAAATTGAAAAATGCCTCTAGAAGTTGCTCCGGTTTACATAACCAAAGGAAATTCCTTTTCTCTTTCGGGTTGTTTGTACTTTTTCTTAGTGACTCATAAGAGAATTTTACATATTAAGGGGAGTAAACTTTGTGAAATAATTTTAAATGGTAGCAATCATTGACATAAATAATCAATCCAAAGTCAAATAACTGTACTAACGTACAGTTCCACCTGCTGTAATAAAACGTAAACCTCCCCCACACTCATAGGTACACATACAAACACAATATCTAAAATCTCTAAAAAAAATACTGTACATAAAATTATTAAACTGAACAAAGAAAAATAGAAAAATTTGTCTTCTGGAAGAATTCCTATGGTGCCAATAACATTCAGGAGCAGCTCAGTCTCACATGGCCGGTAAATCATCTTGGGGAGCAGCTAACAGAATCTGGCCAGAGATAGCAGAGGAATTTTGTGTGGGCATGTGCATTAGTTTACTTTCCAAAATAATCCCATCTGGATGCATGAGAAATGTTCTATCTGTTTCAGCTCATTAGGAGACAAGAGTCAAGCAAACACACTCATTGATTTAACATGCTGGAGCTGTGAGAAATGAGTCATTTGCTGCAATTTACTTCACCAACTTTGGAGATAGAAGATGACCCACACACATATTCTGAGTTGCCTGTTAGTTTATAGCTTAGAAAACCATCACGTTTTATAAAGTGTCTCTAAATCGGGCACCCAAAACAATTAGAAACTTGGGGAGTGGGACAGAATGAGTGGTTGCAAGCTTAACTCTAACATATTTTAATTGATTCTTGAACCATTGGGCTCAGAGAGACAGCATCACTAATTTAAAGTAAAATAACCCTAGATAAAGATATCTTATGGGGCGCCTGGGTGGCTCAGTCGGTTAAGCGGCCAACTTCGGCTCAGGTCATGATCTCACGTTCCGTGAGTTCGAGCCCCGCGTCGGGCTCTGTGCTGACAGCTCAGAGCCTGGAGCCTGTTTCAGATTCTGTGTCTCCCTCTCTCTGACCCTCCCCCGTTCATGCTCTGTCTCTCTCTGTCTCAAAAATAAATAAATGTTAAAAAAAATTTTAAAAAAGGTATCTTATAAAACCTTTAGTTTTCTACACTCTGAGTCTCAACTCAAAAATGGGCTTCAAAAATGTACTTTAGTAGTTTAGAAGTTATACCATTTCCCCATGTAAACGTTTCTTTCCCTGTTCATTTCTACAGGCAACTACTCACCAACTATTATATTCCCGAGTGAATAACAAAAATCTAAGTTTGTAATAAACTCTATAGGAACTGTGAAGAATTGCAAAGAAGGCATGACTCTCCACCCTTAGGGCCTTCCTGGTTGGTAGAAAACAGAAATGAAAATGTCTAAAAACCATTTAGGTCCACTTAAAAGCTCCAAAGTATCAACTTACTGTAAAGGGGCACTAATAGAGAGAGGGAGCTTAACATTTGCATTACTGACTTGAGCAAAACAAAGGAAATGAAACCATGAGCCTATTAGAAGGACCAAAGAAAGATGCAGCCCTTTAGAGTATTACATATTCATTTTCCT